GGGCCGCCCGGCCCCTCCCGACCGCACCTGTACCTGCGCGCTCGCTCGGCCCCGGGATCGGAGGGAGGCTGGCGTCCGCCACCCCCGCGTCTCCGCGGGCGGCGCCCGGGGGCGATCGGGCCCCGAGACCCATTCCGCCCCGACGGGAGGACGCGGCCCAGACCTCCCCCGCGGGTCGCGCGAGGCGCAGCCGGGCGGCCCCGGGGCCTCAGCCCCTCCGGGCCAATGGAGGCGCGCGGCGGGAAGGGCCCCGCCCTCTCCCGCCCCGAAACCACCCACTGGCCCAGGCTCGGCGCGCGCGCGGAATCCGGTCCCGCACCCACCCCGGAGCACCCACGTTTCTTTTGCTTCCCAGGAGAAAAAACAAATCGGAGTTTTCTTGCCTCTCTCGGAAGCTGTGCTGTGAGACATGATTGTCTCAGCGAGGTCACTGCGACCAACTTATACGGGAAGCTTAATGAAGGACCCGATTCAAAAGAGACTATGCCTGGAAGTGTCCTAGCAGGCTACATTTTTACAGATTTTAGGGGACAATTTTAGAAAGGCTAAAAACAAATGATTCAAAGCAGTGACTACTAAAGAGCATCTAGGCCTCCTATTTTGCCAGGAGGAATTCAACTTAGAAAATGTAGGTTTAGTTGTCAATTTACAGGGTTATTTTATTTTACAGCTTCTTTCTGTGGTTTCAATTTAATACTAATGTACGATATTTTTCAAATCAAATCTACCTTCAGTTTAACATAGGCAAAAAAGAACAGTGAGGTAGACATAAGAACAGATGAGGACATTAATCCGTTTTTGACTCCCTGTGATAGCTTATATCATTTTACCGGTAGCTTCATAACTGAACAATTTTTTAATTAAAAAATAAAAATAATACGAAGACTATCCCATAGAAATAATGAGTGAATAGCTTTGAAACAGTTGAAATCTCTCCCTAGATCACTCAATTATGTAGGGGGATACTGCCTAGAAGTCTTAGGATTCCGGGCCTCTGTCTGATACTTTAACATTGTTAATGATAATTCTTTAGTCTGTAATAGTAGGTCATTGCTATGGTTACTCTACAATGGTGCAACACTTTGCTTTCCCCTTCAGCTATTCGCGGAGACCTGGTAACCACATTTGTTGCCTAGCAACAGTTTTGTGACAGTATCACAATCTGGGAGTTAACAACAATAAGGATGCTATGGCTGCAGTCGGCCAGAGAGCAGAAAGCTACAGTCTGTGCATGTGACTTAGCTGTGGGAGCCGGCCCTACTAGGAACCCCTCTCTTTACAAGTGTCCTCACAAGGATGCCCTCTATGCTCTTCTCTGCAGATTGGCCTTATGAACCTGCATTTGGAACTAAGATCCAGTACTGAAGTCAAATCCTTGAGAAATATCCCCCAACACTACTGTATTCAGACTACAAAATGAGATCATTTCTCTATTTGCTTACTCATTTCAGGCAAAATTCAATGTTATTCAGTGGGGGAGAGAAAGGAGTATAGGTTTATCCTGGCAAATCCTAAAGTGCCTGACTGGATTTTGACAAGTCTTAATAGAATTCTTGGGGAAAAAAGTCATATATATCCCTGCCTGCACCAATAGGTGTGTAAATTTTCAAGTTCTTTAAAATGTATGTAACATCTAGATATTTATTATTATAATTTTCACTGATTTTTTTTCAGATGTCAATTGTAAAGAATTCTTTTGAATTTAGAGACATTTTATTCTCCAAATCCAAGTAAGCAGTTCTAGATATGCTCAGACATACCTTCTTTAAATAGTATTTTGTGGGTATATCTAGAAGGGGGTCAAATTTCTCGAGAGGTCTATGAAATGCCTGTCCCTATTTCTATTGTGCTTGCAATCCTAGTTTCATTTCAATAATAACTACTAATTGCATTTAATGATAAAATATTTAAAAATCAATTGTATTTCTTCTTTTTGAAAGACTATTCTCAGATGCATAATACATGGAAACACCGATCCCCTAACACAATAAGAAAAAAAAAAAAGGTGTTAATTGTCTCTTTTCCCTCTCATTTCCCATGCTTCCAGGCTCATTTGGCATTTCCTCCATAGTGATCACACTTATACTTACTAGGGTTACCAGGGCTATGATCAATTTGTAAGCTTTCTCCGAGATCTCTTCTCATAATCCCTCCCACCCCTTGAAAACCAATTCAATCTATGAATCTAGAGGGACCTAAGGAGTCAATGGTCTGAAGCAATTTTAACTCCTTTATTTTTTCTTTCCTGGTGACAGTCTTTCTAAAGGATGAACAAATTTCCCTGATGATAAAATCACTGCAAAGCGTTTTTAGTTTTAGCTTATGAGGACTCTCTGCTTGATTAGTCCTGGGCTGAAAAGACCACAGTCCCTGAGATAACCAAGTACCTGCACTGGCTCTCAACAGTTAGCCTTGCAATTTAAGAGTATAAATCATGAGAATGTGTGTTCTGTCAGAAGAAGGGAATTTGCTAGGAGTCAAGGTAATAAGCAAGGTGGATTAGAAGCTGAATTACAGAGAATGGAGTGTGTGTGTGTGTGTGGGGGGGGCGGGTGGGGAGAACTCTCCCAAAACTAAGGAGTGGTAACATGAATATTTTATACAAAAATGGTTTTCTAAATTTTTGAAAGTAGGTTTTTAATAATTTTAAAATAGCATTTGGAACTTAGGTAATTGCATGTCCATCTGGGGCTACATATACACATTTCAAGAATGTGTTTGGAGACTGTTTTCAAAAATTGAGGGACAAAGTTCAACAAAAATATTTACAAATTAGTATGAATATCTACCCACAGCAATGTTTAGAGAATGGAAACTTTTGAGAGCAGCTTTCTAGTACTTAAAAAAGACACCACTTTAGGGGAAATTATTCCATCAGGACAGAAACACTAGGCCATTATATTATCTATACATAAAAGGATATAAAAGGGGAAAGTTTAGGCCAACCAAAAAGGCAGCCATTTATTAATAAGCTGCAATATGTGTGGGTAACATGGAAACTAGTCCATTTAGCACTAACCACGCTATTTGAAGGAGATAAACATGGTTTTATAGTCGAGGCCTGGTCTTTTCTCTACTACAACTTTACCCTTATCAAAAGCTCCTCTTTTTAGGGACTGTGAACTTCTCTCCATTTTTCAAACCCCCATTGTCCTGATCTAGGTTCCCAAAATATAGGGAAGAAAGAGTTTTCCCATATTAAGGATATGCCATGTTCTCAGGGAATGATTTTTGTACCCTTTTGGATTGGCAGGCTTTTGCCTACTGGATAATTCACCTTTGGTGTGAATTCAGTTTCCTAATGCACAACATCAATTCAATATCAAAATACAATGTATAGGATTTCAGTGCTTCATTATAAAAAATGCTTTGCTCAGTCTCACTCAGTCATTCTTAATGGGCATGGTAGTGGCTTCTGGGGCATTTTGGAAATTTGTTGGGGTATTTTTTGGTGGTCAAGATGATCGGAAGGAGCTATTAGATTCAGTGCGAGAAGGCCAGGGATGGTGGACATTCTGCAATTTGCAGGGCAGTATAGCATGATGAAGAATTGTCCTTCATCCCACATGGTTTTCAAATGTTCTACCAGCTATTCATGTAGTTGAGAAACCAGTTTATAATTATATGGGCTTAGAATTTTCTCAAAGTACTTTTGGCATGATTTTAATATACATGGAATTTTCCAGGAATCCAACTGCCATGTAAACTGCAGGACTGTGTACTTTATGTTGTTCAGAATATTACCAAGAGTGGTTTACCACATGAGAAAATCTCATCACTGATGGCATCACTATCCACGGTACTTGAGGCGCCCGTAAGCACACATGCATCAGCCTGCATTTGTAGCTGTCCACTTCATGGTGATTCTATGCACAGGACCAAGTACCTGACTATTAGGTCTTCTCATGTAGACTTTCCCCGAGCACTTTAGATATTGATATGCATATTATTTTTATTATGAGTTACTTTTCCTTTATTCCTTCTATATGTTAACTAGGGCATTACAATAATTTAGCAATCTTGTAAGTAGGTGGATTATATTATCTCTAGAATTTATTTCAGGATAGTAAAAGCACTGCATACTATTTGTGGTAATAGGAGGTATTTAGGTGATCAAGGGTCAGCTTAAAAATGCATAGTTAATTCTTTTTTTATTACATTAGAGATTAATTTTCCCTATAACCTGAACCCTACTCTAGCTATCTCTTTTATCCTTATTCAGAGTAGAAAATGCTTTTTATTTCTCTTACTGTTCCTTCCACAAATACTGTTTGTCAATGATGTTGTTCATTGTGAAATAACCAAAAGGCAGGGGACAGGGGATCTTCCAATTAAAATACTACACCGAATATTTATCCTTTCCTATCACTTGTTTTAAAAAATGAACTGTAGCAAATTTCAAAGCAGTAAAGACAGCACAAATGGTCAAAAGGATTAGAAACTTTAAGTATAAAGGATGAGCCTATAAATCATATAAGAAAGATCAAATTGCTAAAATGTGTCATTTGTTTTCCCAAAAGACTATATATTTAAGAAAAAGTGTATTGTAATGGAACTGAGAGAGAAGGAAGCTACATTTATGTAATAACATTTAGAAATTAAACAAAAAATGGTTGGAAATGGCACTGAGAGTGGAACGCTCAAAGAATAGGATAAGAGAAGAAAACACTGCTGTATCTTCTGTCTTGTCTAGTTCTCTTGCGTCTTCCTGTGATGACTTCAGTACAAGTATTTCTTACAAGTCTGCCTTGTCCACAGTCCTCCCCACTTGATCTTAGTGCTTAGATTTTTTTTTTTTTT